ATCTTGTGGGTTTTGATGTTGTCACATAGAAGCATTAAGAGAAGCAAAGGCCAGAGGGATTTTGTCTCTCACAGTGGGCCCTGATGAAGTCAACACCTACTGTGTTCTATTCTGGATAAATTGTCCAGGGCCTCTATAACTGTGATAGGCTCCATCCCAGCAGTACTTTTGCTCCAGGGACCTGAAGATTCCATGCAGACCTTGCCAGATGATGTGAGTCCCCTGTGGTTTGGGGAATGTGCTCTGTCACACTTGGAACATTCCTGAGTAAGGAAGGTGAATCTGTGAATCTCCACCCAAGGTTGGCCATGGATCTGCCCATACTGATTAATGCAGGCACTGCTAATTGGACAGCACTCTTAATAAGCATTTAGTATAAGCCTGCAGGGCTTGGTTCATTTATTCTCATTTCTTAGTCACTGGATAATGTATATTTTTGGAAAGATCTTTGTTTTTCCTGCAGGGTAGGTGGAATCCTTCCTGCAATGCTCTGCGGTCTCACTGCGCAAGTGCTGCAGCCTTGCTGCAAACAGTGTCAGGAACTGGCGCTTCAGGAACGAGCAGAGTGAATGGGAAGGCAGCTGCAGAAAATGATCCTGCTTAAAAGATGCCTGACCATTGCAGCAAATTATACTTTTAAACCTTTGTTCAGTATATCAGACAAATCAGTGTCTCAACCCAAGCGTCACTTGAAAGCAGGATTGAAGTCTCGGGCTTTTTAATTCATGTAGTGTGATCAAGAAAGGCTTACTTCTGATCAAAGCAGGAGCAGCCCAACTGCAGATGATCAAAGACCTAAGTGTTAGCTGATGTACTGAGAAACCAAATGTGTCTCTCACTAGCGAGCTCAGTAGGCAGCTCAGCTGGAGGTGAGGTTGCAATGGGGGACGTGAAGGTTAGAAAAGAAGAAAGTTTCAGTCAGTCAAAAATGGAAAATTACACAGTTAATAGCATCTAATTCCTGGGTACTCAGTGCAGTGGGCTGTAAAAACCAGTTCCCTCTGAGCACTTGCAACTTGTGTGGTGTTCAGGCACAGACTTTGACCCTGGAAAAGTGTTGTAAGTTTGAAAGCAATGATTGACGTGAGCGGACACTGAGCTCACAAGTGCCCTGGGAAAGCACAATCCTACATGCAACCAAGCTGTTTGTTGTAATTCATTTGCTGTTGTGTTCTTAAGGTAAAGAATCGTGAATTCTTGTATTGGTTTTCCTGTAGACTTATGACCTTTAGAGGGATAGAACTTATTTATGTTTCATCAGGGGCAGTGGAAAAATGCAGGGAGAGGACATTATGGCAGTCACAGATCAACTCTGTTTTATGGATAATAAAACTTGACTGTCATTCTTGTAAAGCCAAAATTCAGACCTTTTCTGTAGCAAAAGGAGTAAGCAGTACAGTCAGGTTTGTCACTTGTCACTAATCCAGAACATAAATCAAAATAAACTGAACTACATCCTTGTTTCTTAGTTGGAGATCAGACTGAGGAGGATGATGGGGAGGACAGTTTCCATTTGTGCTAATTAAGCTTTCTGACAGGCAAATGTATCTTCGTTCACAGGGAACTACATGTTTTAGAGTGGGAGTTAATAGGCAGGAAGAGCTCTCAGAGACCAGAGAGTGGGTGAGACTGATGCTTCCTCTGGGAAAGTGTGGGGGCCTGATCTCCAAACACTCCCTGCAGGACCAGACCCTTGCAAGGTGAGGACGTGGGTTTAAAGGACATCTCTGGAGGCTGAGGGAACCCATGCCCCTTGTGCTAGGACCTGGTGTTGTGCAAAAGCTGCACTCTAGGAAACCACAATGTGAAGACCTTCTGTGGGAAGAGATTGTCCAGTGCTCCAGGGAACGGCCTCTGCTGATATCCTGCTAATTCTAATATCCTCCTAATATCTGCAGCAGGAGGAATCGCTGTGAAGTAAATAAGAAGCATGAACACTCCTGGGAGAAAGAGAGAAACCCTTTTTTTCCTGAGTCTATTGACCAGTCACTGTCTTGCAGAATTCCCAGAGCTGTTGCAGCACCACCATTACGTGCAGCTGACGTGCAGAAGCCTCTGTAGCATTGCAGCTAAGGAGGGTTCAGTGGCTGGCTGTCTGCTCCAGTGAGGCTCAGGCTGATGAAGGACAGCCCAAAGGATGCTCAGTCAATAGCTTGGGATCACTCAGCTCACTTCAGTCTAACTGACCTCATGGCCAGCAGCACCTTCTCCCCTCTCTGTGTGGAATGACACTGCCATTGTTGTCCCCTGCCTTTGCTGCATGTGTCACATCATTGAGGTGTCACCCAGCCTGTCCCTCTGCACTTCCGTGGGGTAGTTAATGGTGACTTCAATGCTCCCAGTGGCTCTGTTGGGAAAGCTGAAGCTGTTGTGAGAGTTAGAGGCTTACAGAACTGTCCTGTGCTTTTTCAATCTATAAGCTCATGGAATAGCTCTGCTAGAAATGCAGTGTTGCCTCATGGATTGATTTCCTTTCAGATCCAGAAGTGGTTTATTTTTGACCCAATCCTTTTCTTCTTAACCTTCTGCTGCTGTGGTAACACATCCTTTTTCATTTCTATTTTTGGTTTGTGGATTGAGTAAACAGGCAACGATCAAAGGGAATGGCTGGGACACAGGAAATTTCATCTCCATTTCATAAAATGACATCTTTGGCTCCAATGCCACAGGCTGAAGGCAGCTTTCCTGTGTTGTGGTGTTCCCACGTGACAGCATGTGCTGTTCAACATCTGAGCTGCTGCTCTCTAACCTAGCAGCACAGCCAGAAGTGCACAGGAAAGATAAAAATAAATGTTAATCTAGATTTTTGCTCTGCTTATCTGTCCTGAGGCACATCTAAAGTAGTGAAATGAAGTGTTAGGTGGCAGGTGAGGATGAGGCTGATAGGTATTGCTCACTCCTGCACATCCTAAGAAGCAGGAGGGGTACTGAGGTGTGTAAGGTGCTGAGTGCTGTGTGGGGGTGTGTACCTGCCCCCAATTACTGCATAGGACATGGACATCCAGGGTGTCTTACTCAAAGAACCAAAGAAAAGGATTGATTCTGCCAAAGACAACCAGAAAAACAATTATTTCAGAGGATTAAAATGTTGTCTGTATTGGTAGCCAGAGGGTACTCCTTCAGCCCTGGAAAATTCTGGGAGCAGTAAGAAATTCTGTGGTGCTCTCTAAAGAGAGATTTTGGTTTAGTTTGGGGAAGTTACCTGAAGTACATCCACGCAGGGCTTTGGCCTGGTGCAGGCAGGTGGGCTCTTAATCCAAATCCAGTTGAAGCCTCTCACAAGTTGCTCAGCTCCAGCTCAACAAGACAAGCACATGGGAGATGTGCCAGGGCAGTGGATTTCAGCTGCTCCTTAGCAAATGCTGAATGTCCAGATGAATAATTCATCTGGAAGGAGAGTGTGAGCCTTTTGGTGAGGACCCAGACAAAGATTCATGTAAGGTCTCCCTTCAGCAGGCTGAGGAAATCTTTTCATGGAGTTCTTACTGATTTTGGAATACTTTAATTACATATTTTCTTCTAAAAAACTTATAAAAATACATGTTTGTTGCTTTGAAGGCTATACAAACACATTTACAAATAGCCACATTTTTTGAAGATGAGCTATTGGGTTCTACTGACTTTTTTATTAGGAATTTTTTTGTTCTCTTCCTGCCACCTTTTAAGCATGGGCTTCCTCCTTTCAGTCTCAAGGTTTGTGCCTGTCACTGGATCACAGAAATGTTTGGTTTGGGGTTTGACAAAGCTGAGATGCTGAAAACCTCAGGGAGAGGTGAAGGAGATACTTCCTAAAGCAGCACTTGACAGGACAGAAACATTCCCAGTTGAAAGCAAATTGCTTTGGGAGGCTCTTGGACTTTTTCCAGTTACACACAGGTCAAACATGAATTTTGATATTATTTTGCAATGACACAAACCTCAAATATTATATTTCCAGTGATAGCTTGAATGAAGCTTTTCCACAAGTCTTATCTTTATATTTCCCATTAAGGGTTCAAAAATTGAGTTCTTAGAGTTACAGCCTCATGAATTCCAGGATTTTGAAGGATCTATCAAAAGATCTTTCTCTAGTCTTGTTCATAATAATCCTCCTGGTCATCTTCTCTTAGTTTTTCATTGTCCTATCAAGAACTTCATAGGCATGTACAGGTCTTAAGAATTAGGTTTAAATACAGACTTCTAATGATTAGGATGGAAACTGATGCATAGCCTGGTTTAAACCCTCAATCTTGTTTGCCATTTCAATGCAGACTCATTGAGTTCACTTGTCAGCCTGGACTTTTTCTTTTCCCTAAACATGAGTTTAACATTTAATGAGTTTAACAATTTAAACATTGTACTTTTGTTCCCCTTCAGCCCAGTGACTAAAGTAAAGAAATTAACCAATGAAGGAAATATTTCTGTCTATATTTTAATCAGGAATATCACTCTTATTTGTGCTGTGTCTGAGCATTCAAATTCTTTTGTTCTCAGGTTTGGTTTTTTTTTTTTCCTAGAATATAATCCCTGTTTCCATTACCTTCCAAACAAGCCAATAGAGTAAATCCCAGTGAAAAGCTCAGTTGCTCAGGAGTTATAGAATAGCCTCCACAGATGGAATACAACCTCTAGCACTTTTATGTTACTGTTTTTTCCAACCCAGCACAGTCAGGCACCCAAAAGATGGGAATGGTGTTCCTTAAATGATCAGTGCTTTTGCCCTGACTTTCAGTTCCAGCTGCCAAGTGGTGACTGCTGGAAAAGGTAGCTGGTCCTTGTTGTTGCTTCAGGATGGATGAACTCCTGTAGGAATGGACAAACTGGGTGTGGGAGACTGTTCTAGGATCAGCAGGGACATCTGTGCTTTCCTGTGAAAGAACAAGCTGCCTATGGGCCAGGCAGTGTAGCCTCAAGTTAGGCAAAAGTCATAAATGACAATTTTTAGCAAAATTCTGTTGATGTGCAAGACAATTATTGTAGCCTAAACCTTATTTATGATATCTTTTCTTGTCCTTCCTCAGGTATTTTGAGTTTTATGAAGGGCCTTTGGAATACAACTCTACAAAATGCCTGGAATTAAGGCAGGACATCATTGAGGTGAAGGTCTTGTCTATGTAAGTATGACCTAAATGTAAAAAGTAGAAGTACTTAGCAATAAAAGTATTGCTAGAAGTGTTACTTCTAAGGCAGGATGGAATGGTATCTTACAATGACACTGTCAAAAGGTGTAAGGCTCAAGAGATGACATCAACAGGGATCTCAGGAGGGATCTCTAGCCTCATCTCACCTGTACAAGCAGTGTTTGAATTTGATCTGACATCCATTTACAGAACATGGAAGCTTTTCCCATACACTGAGGCATTTTGGTCAGGCCCACAATTATGGCTGAGAATTCAATACGGTGTTTGTAATAACACAAAGAGTAAGAACAGCCAAACTGAGTCATACAAATGATTAGCTTAAGGATCTTTTGTTGACAGTGAGCAGTAGTGAAGGCTGAGAAAGGAAGAAAATGTTCAGTCCTTCCTGATAATAAATACTGGCATAGGGACTTGTGGACTGGTAGAAGGAGTCCAGAATGGAGTAATCAGAGTGGACAATAGACATTTCTATTAATTTGTTTAGATATTTTCTGAGCCCATTTGTATTTCTGACCTCTTCAAACAGCAGAGAGTTTCACAACTCAAAACCCCTCAGTGAAAAGGTAAGAAAATGTGATTCTGTGAAAGAATAAAATATCTCTAAGTTGTGTTTTGTGGTCCAATAAGTATGTCAGGAATCCAATGAGTTGAGTGAGATATATATATGAAGCCACAGTAAAGGAACTGGGTGAAAAAAATGAGTTTGCCAGTACGACAGTGCACAGCTCGGTGATTTTAGTGTTGTCTTTTTGCATTTTCAGCATTTCACTGAGTTTAGGTGCTTAGATTATGCCTAATCCCTCACCACAACTAAAGCCAATGGTTTAGTAGCATTGCAGGCGATGCACAGGGTCTGAAAAGTGCATTGGGAATGTCAGTTCAAAGTACAACTCCACACGTGTATAACATTAAGCAGCTGGGACTACAGAAAATACAGTTTGTTGCTCCAGGTCTGCATGAATCTGAGCATGTCTCCCTGACTGACTTTGTGCACAGCAAAATGTAGGTTATGTCCTTGCCTCCTGCACTGGATGAAGGATACACGAGTAACACAGTTTGCACCGCTTGCTGACTTGCAACGCTTAAAAATAAATAGGAGGGGTGAGAATGTCACACTTCTCCAATGTTCTGCTGAAGATCAGGAGTTCTGAATTGCTTTATTTTCTTTTTGCATACACAGATAATTCCTCTTTTTTCTTCATCTTATCCAGTGGCTCAAGGAAGGTAGTGGAGTCCTGCTCAGCTAGATACGAGTTACCCTAAATTCTACAGTAGATGCCATGTGACACCAAGCTCTTTTACTCTGCTGGTCTCTTCTGGTGTTCTTGATTCAAATGTGCTATGTTTCCCAAGTCAGCCCTTATGGTAATGGAAGATTTCCAAGTTAATGTGCTCTGGTGGGCTACAGAAAGTACAATATGACCTAATTCCTTCCTGCAACTTCCTCAGCCTGGGAAATGCTCGGTTCTGCTCACATTAAATATATAATTATCTTAAAAGTCTATGCTTTATTCAAACATTAAAAGCCCTCAAGCTTGAAGAGAACTCATTAAGACCTATCAATCTAGGAGAAATCACAGACTTCCAAACTTCTTAGACAGCTTATGCAATTGCTTCCTACCTCTAGATATTTGCAAAGCCTTCATTATCTCTGTTGTCCAAACGCACAAGAATATGTGCGAACTTCAGTGTGGAAGTTCTTGGAATTGGTGATATCATCAAAAAATGAGTCATCCTGTATCAGCCTGGCTGAAATAGGAGTGAGGTTTTTTGTTGTTGTTGTTTGGGTTTGTATTTTTTGGTTTTTTTTTTTTTCGTTTGTTTTTTTTTTTTTTTTTTTTTCATTTGAACCCTCATGCCTTATGGAGTCCAAATAAAACAGACCTTGTATTATAAATAGACATTTGAATTAATGGAAGGGAAATTGGTCATTGTTGTCTTTGGTGAGGGATTTTTGTTTTTTTTTTTTTTGTTTTTTTTTTTTTTTTTTTGTGTGTGTGTTTTTGTTTTTTTTTGTTGTTGTTGTTGTGTTGGGGGGTTTTTTTGAGTTTTTTTTTTTTGTTTTTTTTTTTTATAATGAGACTACAGGAGTATTGATTAGCAGAGGAGGAGGTAGAGATCCTTATATAAAGAGCTTTTCCTCTTACCATCACAGACTCTTATCCCTACATGTGAACTTATAAATTTTTCCTAAAATAAATTTACCTACAGTGTTGTGCTGTAGGATCTCACAGATTGCTAACCTCGCTAAAATGAAGCTTTAATTGGCCGAATTATTCCCCTTTTCCAATTGCCCCCTCCTGGGCCCTTCTGCTGGGTGCACCTTTTCCCCAAAACCCAGGTGATTGACAGCCATTTGCTTCCCAGCAGATTTTGGTACAGTAGCTGCTTCTTGGTCAATATTGCATTTTTTATCCTGCAAAAATGGAGAAAGCCTATCAGGGAGAAGAAATCAGTCCCAAACATCAATTCTTGTGTGCAAATGGCTTAGAGTGGCTAGGCCTGAGCAGAAAAAGGAAGAAAAATTATAAATTTTGTACTGTCTAGACTGGCTGATTTGTCCCATCAATTTTCATGGTATTCTATCTGCAGCTGTTTTAGGAAATTAAACCCTGGTAATAAACCTAATTTTTTTTTTTTAATATTTTAGGGTGAAACAAACTGAATTGTTTGACAGATGGAAGAGTCTTCAAATGTGCAAATGGGAGATGAATGTCACAGAAGCCAATTTATTCAAGTAAGAATGTCTCACATTAATGAGACTGAGTAAAATTTACTTTAGTTTGAGTTCAGCTTCTTGCAGAGATCAAAATTTCACATGGATAGCAAGAATAATCATGACAACATTTGGAGTACCACCCTTTTGAATAAATGTGGACTTTTCCCCCTACTTTCAAAAAAACAACGCAGCAACAAGATTTCTGGTGTGTGGAAGTCTTCCAGGAAAGACAAGGAATTTGGTGTGGGAAAGACTTCCAGGTGTTATTTGGGCAGCAGTGAGGATGGAGATGAGATTTAATGGCTGCACCTAATGTGTCAGCCTAACTCTCTGGCTTGGAATGGTAATATCTCTGGTGATACTGCAAATTTGCTCTACAGAATTCTCAAACTTTATTTCTTCTGGATGTTTTAGGAACTGTCAGACCTTGGTTATGACTTTCTCTGGTTGTTTGTTTTTTGGGTTTTTTTAATGGCTTCTCAGCTATTACTCACATATTATCTACATATTTTTTCTGGTCTTCAGAGACCTCTCAGTTAATTTCTGTAGTGTTCTGTCTTTCTTCGTGTAATTTCTATGCTGAAGGTCCTCCATGATCCTCTCAATACACAGAGAAACTGGCCTTGTGAAGGCAACAGTGGATTGAAGCCAAGCCAGTTTTTGAATGTTATATACTGATATATTCCACTGCCATATTTGAGTAGGTTTTGAGAAAGCAAACTATTTCAGGCTGTAGACTGAAGTCTGCAAGGCACTGGTACAATTCAGAGATGTTGTTTGTAATAAGGGCCCCAGCTTTATCCCAAATTCTCTTGCATGATTCCAGGAAATAGCTGTCAGGAGTTAATGAGAGAATGTGAGAATGCATGTGCTGAGTTAGTCATTGACATCTTTAAAAATAACATTGTTAGTCTCAGACTCATAACAGTTTCTCCAACGTGATCTCCACACCTAAGTTTTTTAGGTGTTTGGGATTTTTTTTGGTTATTTTTTCCCTGTATTTTTCCTGGAAATTACTTGGTAGGCAATTATCAGAGCCCGTTTTGAAGAGAAGAGTCATTCAGGATTACAGCTCATTATTTTAAAAACAGCTGGAGTGAGAGGAATAATGATTGTACCCAGAGAGAAAGCAGAACTTTGAGGTATGGAAAGGAGCCCCTTGAGGTTTGAAGGCCAGAGCAGACGTGAGAGCAATGAGAAAGGACTTTCCAAAGACCACCACGAGGACCATAAATCTATCTCAGGCCACCAGCACATTGAACAAAGAACCCCTCCACCCTGTACACTGAGAGAAAAAAGAGAGGAAAGACTCCTGTCACTGCTTCTACCTGCCTGACTGATACATCACTGCTCCAGAAACCCTTACTGGCACCCAGATGCAAACATAACCTTTGTCAGCTGGTTTCAGTAGCAACAGTAGTGCTTGTAATTAAAAAGGAAAAAAATGTCTAAAGCCTGTGGGGGAGAGACATCAGTGTGTGAGTTTGTGGGGAAGCCGCTGTCCCTTAAAAGCAAACCAAGGTCTCTGAGTTTGGAGGCTGTTTAGGAGAAGGATGAAACATGTAATCCTCTGAGCTGTGGGATTTTGAACTTTGCCAGTCCAGTCCCATCATGTGAGATGGGGAGAATCCAGCAGATTTAAATGGCAGCTACTTGAGCAGCAGAGAGGGATGAAGGGCAAAAGCCACAATAAAGTTTGTATGTAGAGACAAAGGAAAGCAGTTTCCTTGAGAGTCTTCTTCCATCAGATATCAGGCATCCACAAAAAAGACTGTGCCTCTGGAAAACCAGCTGGATGTTAAGGAAAAACATCTCTTTCAATTCCTTAAGGAGCAGCCAGTGAAGAGGTTTTTCTCATATCCCAACTATAACAATTCAATTCCGCTATCTGCTTGTAATTATTTTTGCTGTTAAACATTATTCATTGACTTTTTCAGTCTCATTTGCTGCCTTGATCTGATGGTCATTTTGTGCCATCCTGCATGAGTCAAGTATATGAGAGTAATTGGACATCACTGAAATGTTTGCATAATTCTCTATTTGCTTTCTGGTGCTTGTAATAAAGCCCATAAAGAAGACAGGCTTATTCTTCCAACTTAGAATATGAGGCCACACACCCCAGAGGCAAGGCATTTAATCTGGGTTATTTGAGAGCCATCTGGCCTTGTCTTCATGCTTGTGCATTTGCCACGACATGTATTTTTCACTAAAGGTATCAAACACATTGACTGAGAAATAAACCATCTCTGGAATAAGAGTGAGCAGAAGTCAGGGCTTTCAATGCCACCAGCAAAAGAAGAAAAGCATCCAGGGCAGGATGGGAGGTGGGAAAGGGCATCTTATTCACAAAGCTGCTTTTCCCATTTACATTTCATGTGAAACATGGCAAAGGGATGAGATCTGAATGTTTTTTCTCCTTTACCCTGAATCCCATGTTTGGGATTTTATGCAGTTCTTATTTGTACTGGAATTTATTCCATTTTGTCCCAAGGATAAAGAAAATTTTGGTCATTTGTCTGAGATTTTTGAGTTTTAGGCATGACCAGTTTGCCTGGCACCAATGTGCTGGGGCCACATCACCTTCCTGATGCACGCATGTGCAAGGCCAAGGGCAAAACTAAAATCTTTGAAGGTTTTTTTGTTGTAGTCAAAGTGTGCTGTGCTCCACAGCAGTCTGTCAAGTGGGACAGTGTGTCTTTGGGTATTGCTGTGTTTAAATACTGCCCTGCCTCATTTCCACATCTCCAGAGGGTCTCTTGAACCCCTACATTTCCTGCCACTGGGCAGGATGAGTATGAGTATGTAACTCATAAAATGTTGAAAGTCTCTAAAGTAGAGAGGGACTAATTCACTAATGTGGTTTTGCCAGGATATGGGAGGCAGAAACTCATCTTTGGGGCTACAGCAGGGCAGAATTTGCACATGAATTTCCCACAGCCTAGAAGAGACAAGTGTAGGTATCTAATTTACTCTCTTTTCTTTTTGTTTTGCCAGTATTTTCAATCAAAGAAAATTCACCAAATCTGAAGTTTTCTGAATGAAAATTCAGCAAACCACCATTTTACCCATCCTAGGGCTAAAAAATTTCTTTTTGGTGAAAAAATACCTTGTTGGGAGTAACAGCAATTGCAAATCCTGTGTCATGCCATCAGCTCCTTGATCTTATTTCCTTTTCTTTTCACAGGTCTACTCTGTCAAGGTGTTGCAACGCCCCATCCTTTCTGTTCACCACCCAGAAAAATACTCCCTTGGGAACTAAACTGAAATATGAAGTGGACACAAGTGGAATCTTTCATATCAACCAAGAAATCTTCAAAATGTTTCCAAAGGTACCTCTGCCCATTTGCAGGATCAGCTTCACTGTACTTGATATATGAGGCACTATTCTATAGCCAAGCATTTAGCACTTGTTTGACAAAATTCACTGCTTATACTTTGAAAATTTTTATTTTTGATACAATATTTTAGATGATTATTCTGTTTTCTGGTGTCGTCTGCAAAATATATACATACACATCCATCCATATATATATATATGTAATTTCCTGCAGAATATTGCTGACTTAGGAACAAAGTGGATAATGAAATAAGAAAGCTAAATAAAAGAGACACTGATTTATCAGAACTTTTACAAAGTGTAATATTCACATATAATAAATCCAACATTTGAGGGTAGATCTGCTTTTCTTTTTGGCATGATTGTTTTATAATTAATATTCACAATGACTATTTTTATACTTATTTCCATTTTCAGATTATCTGTGAATGGGCTTCATAATTTTTAAATGTATTCATCATAATGATTATTCAAAGCCTTTCCAGCAAATAACACTTGACCTCCAGGGGTATTCAAGGTTATAATCAGTGGGCAATTCCCTCTGCACATAGTGACTGATGAGCAGGAATGGGCTGATGTGGCTGCAGATTTACCACGAAGCACACCCCTTCAATTTACAGCAGCATACTTGGAGGGAGTGGCTGAAATTGATCCCTTTTGAAAAGCCAGACTTATGTTCTGGTTAGGTATTTAGATTTGTGCCATTGAACCTGTCCTTCAGGGTCCAGCCACTTCTAATCCTTTGGCTTTGTGAGCACTGGTGAGAGGAAGGGAAGTGTTGTTACCTGAATGTGCACATGGGGAGCTGGGGCAGAAGCAGGGAAAGGCTGGGATCCAGGAAAGCACTTTGGCAACTGGAGACGTGCAAAGAATGGCTGCATCTAAGTTATCCTCAAAACCCTGCCTGCTTAGGCTGATGAGTGCATGGAAGTCTGAACACCTGAGATCTGCTAGGTTTGTCCTAGCTGTGCTGTTTGTCCAGGTATGATCAGGGTGCTGTGAAGGCATCATTACATGCCAAAATGCCTTTGGGGAGACACTGGGCAGTGACCAAAGCCACCCTCTGCATATGAGCAGGGCTGCAGCCTAGTACATGTAGGAAATAAAGGGCTGAAAATGCAGAAGCAATGCTGTAGGGGCAAGAGCCTTGTGCTAAGCTTGGACACCTGGCTTCTGATTTCCCTTCCAGCGCTGCCAAGGGACTGTGTGTTAAGAAATCACTGCATAAAGCACAGACAGCTCCATATTTCCTCTCTGTCAGACAGCTGCTGCTTTTCTCAGGCAGGTGTAATTGCATGCCCTTTTTGCCTCATGGCTTATGGATGCCGTGGAAAGATCCTGGGAATAATCACCCAGAAATGTCAAGCCACTCTTGCATCCCTCTGTAGTTTTCAGCATGAGGTTATTGATAAAATATGTATGTACCAAAAACGAGCACTCTCATGCTTATGTAAGCACATCCCTACATATTCATAAGGTGTAGCATGGCTCAGTTCTTCGTCAGAGCCCTCTCACCCTAACAGCCCAGTTTGTTCTCAGGATGTGATTTTCACTCTCTGGCTTCAACAGCAGCTGCATCTCTGTGTGTGAAGGCAGGATTTTGCCCAAACATTACAGGAGGATTCATCATCCACAAGTTCATAAAGGTACCTGACCAAAGGCAGTGCTGGTAGTGCAAATGCTAATTAATAATCATTAATACTATTAGTGCAATTAGAGTTGGTCAGCAGTAAAATTGGGGCTGCTTTCTGTGATGTGCTGTCTGACAGATTTCTTGGGCTTTACTGGCTGCCCTGGAGACTTCCCAAAAGCAGGACACCAGAGCCTGAGGAGCCAGCAGTTTGCAGGCAGCTCAGAAAACAGCGCCTGAGCTACACTAATTCATGGTTTGAGCCCTCACGTGGAAATCAAAGAGGAAAGCAAATGTCTAAAATTACTCCTTATGTTATTGAACCTGGGAAAAAAGAACAATTTATTTTTCCATTTGGGTTTGTTGCCTGTTCCATCTGTAATTGCACAGCAAAACATCCCATCACTTTGTGTAGAGGGAATATTGCACCCCAGAACCAGTCAGCATCCTATGAATGAGGCATCAAGGTGCAGTTTCAGAGGAAAAAAAAAAGGAAAAAGTGAAAAAGAGGCTTGTTGTCTCCATGTTTTGGCGTCTTTAACTGTTTCCTTGCCGTGCTGTTGCAGGACATGCCGTACCACCGCTCCCAGTTTAAGAGGTGTGCAGTGGTTGGGAACGGAGGAATTCTGAAGAACAGCAGATGTGGCCGGGAGATTGACAGTGCAGACTTCGTGTTTCGGTAACCACCACGGCTCCATTTGCCTCTTTTTCTGCCTTTTCTAATGCCAAACAGAATATTGCAAAGCTGTTCTCTCTCACATGGAAACATGACATTTGCTAAATTGGCTGTGTCATGCCTGCTTCTTGCACAAAAAGCTGCATTTCAAAAAAAACCCCAAAACAACAAGAAAAAAAAACCCAAAAAACCAACCAACCAAACAAAAAACCAACCAAAAACTCCAAAAACCAAAAAAAAAAACCTCAAAAAACTAAAAACTCCAAAACATCTTACTTTATAATATTTTTTTTAATTAAGCTTTGAGGAATTATTTATCCCTAACTCAGTGGGGTTAATCACTGACTTATTGGCAAAGACTGTTGCTCTCTTTCAGGATATCCCCTGCCACTGAGGTTGTGGATTTATCTTTCTATGGATATTACCCTATAAGCAGTGTCCTATGAACCTGAGCATATTTTCTGAGCCAGATCTGAGCCTCTATTGAGTGACAAGCGGCTTGGTCAGAAGTTAATTGCTCACAGCTGATGTGCCTCAGAAGTGTGTTTATGGACTGGTGTAGAGCTCAGGTGTTCAATAACAGGATTTACTGTAATCAATAATCAATCCAGGGCCTCCAGAGTCACCAAAATAGCTTTAAAGATCAAGTGTCTTCACTGCTCCTCACTATATGTGGAAATATCCAGGTTTTGCATAAACTGGGGTGTCCCACGATGAGTGTCTCTGATAAGAGAGTCTAGCAGCAGTTTTATAATCCTTAATATATATGAGAAAAATTTTTTTTTTTGTTATTCATATGCATGACTAATCCCCCTCTAAATCCTGTTAAGCTCTTTGCCTGGGTCATGGCATATGACCACTAGCTCACAGATTCATGACTTGTTCTCTAGAAAAGAAAAATCTCTTTATTTCAGTTGGCCTATTTTCTGATCTTGGGTATATTATTGTCAGTTTAGAATAACCACATGTAAAACAATTAATTTCTCTGACTTCACACCAGCAAAAATTAGATCAGATTTTGGTTCAGTGCAGTCTTAATTTAATTTTATATCATATGAGAAAATTGTACAGGTCCTATATTCAGGATTCATTCTTTTCAGACCCCTGTGTCTTCCTCTTATTCCAACTTTACAGAAAACTGTTATCTTAGTTTTCAATGAAAAAAAAAAGTCTGTGAGAAAGTCCAGGCTTCACATAAGTTCTTTAATAAAAGCTTAGTGTACTCCATATGCATTAAATAATTACTGTAGATTCCCTGCTGTTGTGTTGGATCACAACCATAAGCATGGATGAAAGGAGCAGCCCATGTGACACATGGAGATGGCAAGCTTTTAAGCAGAACCTGAAATATGTCTGGGAAATCTCATCTATGTTTAAAGACTTTTAGTAGAGGTCCTGTTTTACCATTGCTACGCTTCCTTGAATGGTACCAAAACAGGTAAAAAAAGAGGAGATTATTACAGAACTTAGAAACTGGGTTGTGTTTTGTACTGTAACAATTAAATAAAGGTTTAGTCTACAGAACTGGAATATGAATAAATATATCCGTGCCAAAGAAACCCCTGGTTCACTATCTCCAAATTGTGGATTATGCAAAAAGATGTGACAGTGTTTTAAAGCTCAAGGTCAGTTTTAAAGTAAAGCTTGTGTTCAAGGTCAGGTTTGAACACATCTGCTTTCCAGTCACCACTCCACTAAACTATCAGGAATCATCATCTTGGCCAGCAGTGAAATTATTTAAAACATTTCACAAGCTGTTTATGGAGCCCTGATTACATTCAACAACACCTTCAGGACACTTGGGGAAATCTTTTCTTGTGGCCAGCAGCATGCAGCCAGGATTGTTCTGTGAAGTAAATTCTGAAAGCAATTAGTTGTAGTACAATAGGATATATAAGATACACACCAGGATTGTATTTACTAGTAGTTATTGTCTGTCTCCATCTACTGGCCAGAGCAGAGCTCTGTGGTGGAACACCGGGTGAATTTAGAGATGGGACTGCTCTCTTGGTGGGCATGAGTTTTTGGAGTCTTGTGACAAAAGTACAGTTTGTGCAGATGGGACCATTTTTATAAGGCATTATCACCTTCAAAAAATTCAGTCACTCTTAATCCTCGTGTGAATTTCCTATTCGGAAACACTGAAGGTGATTATTTGAAAACCCTCCTCAAATATCATCTAATAAGCACAGTGCCCAGTGCTTGGTGGTACTGGGAGTGCCCAAGGACTTGAGTTGCATGACCCAGCAGAAGAAAGCACTAGAAATGGTATTATCTATACAAAGGATAGCCAAAAACAATTCCCTGATCAGATAAAGATGGGCTATCTGTAAGGTGGATGTGAACTTTTTGAGTGTTAGGACTTTGAAGGAATTTTGTGCATTCTTCTGCTCCCCAAACTGTCCTCTCTCTTTGACTGAGAAATTATCCTGTCAGCTGAACTGTGGTATTGTGAAAACAGTAAGCATCTCTTACCCTAAATACCACCACAGTTTTTGCTCAGCCCTGTTCTTCAGAAACATGGACAACTTTGAGAATTAGGCACTGCAGTATTTCTGAGATGTGGGAGGGTCTGAACAGTGATGGTTTTAATTGAGGCTTGCAGGTCACTTTAAAAAGCTTTCAGTGTCACTCAGTGCCTAACTAGCTTAAAATGAATGCAAAACCAGTCGCCAGGCCACACATTTTATCCCTGAAAACACATGCTGAAGGTTTTTTTTCAGCTGGATTTCCTTTGGAAGGAAATACAGTGTGATAGCTTGTGAGTGTGCATTTCAGTAACTTCAGCATCTCCTGAGGGATGCTCTAAATTTTGTGAGATGATGTATCTGGGACAAGGCCAAGGTGACTGGAGGCAGGGCAAAGTGAAGGCTTGCAAATCTCACAAGTTTGCTTCCAATAACTTTGGTGTCCTGTGGTGAACTTGCAGAGTCAGAATTGCTGCTATTACACCGCGTTGGGAGATGCTTAAAAATGGAAAAGGAAGTGAAGCAAATAGTTTGGGATTAATTAGGTCTGGATTGATTTCTCTCTTGTGGAACATTTCCCCTAAATTCTCCTGGGTATAAACCGAAGCATCTTAAAGGCAATGTTTTAGATATAGTTTATTAATTATTGAATTCATCTCAGCTGCTGCTCAGCAAGCCTTTGATTTTATAGGCTGATTGGCCTTGGAGCTTCAATCCTCTTTGCATCCTAAACTGCCAGAGTAAATAGGTAAATTGCTATTAAGGAGGCAAAATGAGCATTGGCTACACCTGCAAAGAAGGGTGATCTCTCACAGGTGAGGGAGCAAGAGAGGTCTTCACACAGCCCTCAAGAACCTTTTAGATTATTGCACAGTTTGGGCAATATCAAATGTTTTGATACAATTTTAAATGCTCACTCTGTTTCTAGATTTGTTGCTTGGCAGAAATGCTTAAATAAATTTTATTTTCTAGTCCTGAAAAGGTGAAAGAAATATTTAAACTTTCTTACTAATTTCTCTTTTTTATAGATGCAATTTGCCTCCTATATCTGAGAAATACTTCATGGACGTTGGGGTGAAGACAGATGTCGTGACGGTCAATCCCAGTATTATCACTGAGAGGTTATTTCTGTTTTTTCTGTATTTTCATTTATCTTGATTTTCCAAATCTACCTTCAACATAATTCTGTTTCACACAATTTTTTCCCAAATCCTACTTTATGCCATCACTATGAATCATACATTTCATTCTGAATCGAATAAGTAACAAGTTGTAGAAATGTGTTAAACACTTAAACCTGCACTTTGATGATAGAAAATGGAAAGGCAATGAGCTAAAATTAAATTAAAACAACAGAGCCATCCTTGCCCTTCTCTGCATGCAAGTCCCATTCAAACATCTGAGAAACATTCAGGGTGAAAGAAACTGGATCCCACCCAAAATGTTAAAGTCATAGAATCAGAGTCATTAACATTGGAAAATTAAGATCATCAAGTAAATAAAGTAACACACATTGTAGCATGTTTAAAAGAAATGTCAGTGAAACTTTACTGTAGACAGGATTGACTAGGTGATTTTTATTTTAAATTTGTTAATGCCCTAATGCTTACATTGTGACATTTTTGGGACCATGACGCTCATTACTGCTTTCCTTTCTCAATGGGGGGATGTGTTTCTTTTCTCAAGCAACATAAAATAATTTCTTTGACTTTGGATTTCTTTTAAAAATGCTACAGCTAGACATTTTAAATACCTGCTAGCTTTGGTGTTGGCCTCTTTTTTATACATCTCTGCACTGCACAGTGCACCACACACCTTGGGAAAAATTACGTACTTCTAATAATACCATGAGAAGAGAGACAGGATCAGAAATGGCCACAAGGTTATTATGAAGTTATTATGAACTTTTTAATTTTAAATTAAATTTTAAAAAATATTAAAAACTATTTTGAAAAAATAATAAATAAAAATACGTGAATGAATTAATTAAATAAAAAAATTAGTTAAATAAAAATAATTAAATTAAGTAATAAAAATTAATACTTTTTGAAGTTGGGGTTTTTTTTACTTTTTTAGAAATATGTAATTTTTACCCTTCATTTCATGCTGATGCTGTAGCTACAAATCTAAGTATGTTCCTGTTGATAACGGGAAGCCATCAACGGGAAGCATCACCTCAATTATCCCTGCGTCACAAACGTTTCAATAAAAGCCCATTGGGTGTTTCTTGCTGGGAACGGGCTGACCACCACTCACCACACCCTCTCCCCGTCAGATTCCACAAGCTGGAGAAGTGGAGGAAGCCCTTCTACGACGTGCTGCAGGTGTACGAGAACGCCTCCGTGCTGCTGCCGGCCTTCTACAACACGCGCAACACGGACGTGTCCATCCGCGTCAAGTACGTCCTGGACGACTTCGAGTCCCAGCAGGCAGTTTATTACTTCCACCCCCAGTATCTCATCAACGTCTCGCGCTACTGGCTCGGCCAGGGCGTGCGGGCCAAGCGGGTCAGCACCGGGCTGATCCTGGTGACTGCGGCCCTGGAGCTCTGCGAGGAGGTGCACCTCTTCGGCTTCTGGGCCTTCCCCATGAACCCCTCAGGGATTTTTATAACTCACCACTACTACGACAACGTCAAGCCTCGCCCCGGCTTCCACGCGATGCCCTCGGAGATATTCAATTTCCTCCACATGCACAGCAAGGGGATCCTGCGGGTTCACACGGGGACCTGCAGCTGACAGGGACACGGCGAGAGTGCGGCAGGAGCTCGATGGCCTGTGTAAGGTGTAGGAGGTTTTGTTACACCCCGAGATTATGCAATAATTGTTTGATATAAATTTCCTCAAGGCATTGCATCCCATAAGATCTAGGACACCAGCATCTTTCCTGCTAGCAGAGTTGGGTCCGTAACAGTGTAGGAGAAGCAAAACTCCTCTGCCCCAGGGTACACGCTGTCCTGGAAAGCAAGTCAGATAAGAAGCACATTTACAATACATTTAGGGATAAATACAGCACATTCATATATTTATCATTTCACTATGGAGAAAAGCACCAAACTTTTGAGGAAAAACAGAGGTGGAGAATTTTAGCATAGATTATATGACTTTACATAGGATTCTGAATTGAGTACCTTGGGGTATTGCCAGATGTTATTGAACACTCTGTTCTCTGGCCTTTAGATTTTTGAAAATACTCTTTAGCATTATAGCTTAATGGGGATATATAACATAAAAACTTTGTTCTGTAATGTCACAAAGTGTTGATCAAAAATAGCAGATAGATGTGCTAGGAATAAACAAAATCACTTTATGAATTTTTTCAACCAGGATAGAACAGAATGTTGAACTCCCATTCACAGCAACAGGTAACTGTGTGAATCATATTGTGATATTCTTTTAGAGATTGTTTTTTCTTCCTTCTTGCGCCTTGCATTTCTGTTCTCCTCTGCTGATTGTGCTTCCTTCCTCCTTGTCTGTGATGCTTTCCTTCTGGCTAACACATCGCAATGTGTGCACTTCCTCCTACAGCCACCATCTCAGCATCACATTGGAGTTCTTGCTGAAGAAACAAGCTCCTTCACAAGGTTTTCTTGAGATGAAGAGCAAGGGGATTACGTAGTTATATTTTACAAGTTGATTTTTTGGTTCAGCATAAGATAGAAAAAACCCATTTCCTTGTTGATTTTTATTAGAGACTTTGTAAAAGGTATCTGAGAGTTGATTTCACTGTTGTGCAGGTTGAGTTAACACTTTCAGGTATCTGTAATATGTTAATGTCAGGAAATGAGATTAAAATTCAGAGAAGTTATTTTGTGGCTTAGATTATGATGCTTATTTTAAAATTATGCATCTTGAGATGTCAAATGTCTTAATGTGGTGTTTTTGTATATTGAGAATGTTATTAGGATAGTAAAAGGGCTGGTGGTGTATTCTTTAAATGTCATCAGTGTAGCTCTGTCAGATATGCCAAGCCTAATTTTCCACCTGCTACAGTTGACAAAATCTTGAAGCAGAAGAGATGCCACAAGTTGCTTGAGTTTATTTTGTTGTAGTAGGCTGCTGGCATATGCCCTTTCATACTGGTATGACTGCATACACAGGAGGTGAGGGTTGCTGTTCCAGCTGTGCTGGCATGGTTAAATGAACAGAGTTTCCCTGTCTAAGTTCCTAGTCTGAAGCACTCGGGCTGTTGCCTTGTCTTGTCTTGTGTAGATTACAAGATCTTTGATCAGGATTTGAAGTTTTTTTCAATGTATGAGGTTTTTTGTTTTTTGGTTTGTTTTTTTTTTTTGCTGGGGGCTGGGGGGGAGAGGGTTTAAATCCAAATATGGACTTGGATTTTGACTTTGTAATGCATGAATGCACAAAGCTTCTTTTAAAAGCGTCTGTGCTATGCTGAGAGCTGTGCAAGTTGCTCACACTACAGATAAAATGATCACAAAGAAAGTGAAAGCACATTGGTCACAATTTCAAAAGTCCCTGCTGGCCGGCAGTGCCCTGGATGGTATGTGAGAGTGCATTTTATTTACACTACACTCCTGAGATTTGATTGCCTTAGAAGCAACCCATATCCTTGGCAAAAATGTCAGAAGTCACCTGGGAAACATCAGTCAGGGGCAGGTGAAGGACCAGTGCTTAAGCTTAATATATTATTTGTGGTGATGTGTTTTAGGTCTTAGAGTTACACTGTGTGTTATTGAGCACCCCCTCGTATTGTCTACCTGTGAAATAGGCAGCACCCCCATCAACCTGCAGGTGAAATGGTTTCCTTGACTCAATATGCAAAAGAGATCTTTGTCTTTGCTGTGTTCTGTAAATTTGTGTGCAAAGGGCTTTGACAATGAAGTGCTGTGATGAAAGTGCTATTTAGAGAGCAATGTGACACTGCAGGTTGGCTGTCTCGCTGTGCATTAAGTTTTATGATAACAGTAATGACACTGAAGCTGGTGCTCAGAGCCCTTACTCCTTATTCTGCCTGAGTTTGGGACTAGTAGTGGCTTCAGGTTTGCTTTGCTGCTGCTGCTCTGCTAAGGTTACCTTCTTTAGTAAGAGATTTTTCTTTACTATGGTGATGGAAGTGAACAAAATCAACTGAAAGGAGTCTGATGCGTTGCAAAAGGCACTTCAAAAAAGATGGGAAAGCACTTGAGAGGCATCCATTTGTTGATAGAAATAGTGCAAATCCCTCTTTTTAGTTGCAAGGAATCCTTTTGTACAGATAAAAGGATAAGCAAAACTGCATTTACAGTTAATCTGTAAATACAGGGTCACAGACATTTCCTTTCCATTGTTTGCTTCATATAAATGAGCAATGTAAATTCACTGTAATGAGTGCAGTGTTACTGTGTTTAGATTTTGATTGCTTATAAATCTATAGCTACTATATTTTTTTAATGATTTTAAGAAGTGTGTGCAGGTTACTTGCACATATGCACCAAAGGCCCAGTCTTGCCACATTTGTGTGAAAAGAGCCCCCATTCAGGTGGGTGGGTATTTTATTTGTGTGGGACTGCAGAAACAGGCCCAGATATTTCTGTGAAGGTGTACATAGGTGTACAGTTAAGGAGTGATTCACAAGCCAGAAAGATAATTAATGAAATATATATAAAATACTAATTGAGATTAAATACATGTTGCAACATGTTCGCTTTCCGATTCATTTTTCAGGTGTTGCTCAAAAAATGATTGCAAAACTATGGCATTTGTCAGAAATTCCATATGTGGAAGGGCTTTTGCAGAAAGAAGGACGCTCCTTGGTTTCTGCCATCATTCTTTTGTGTGCTGAGCATAAGAAAATATTCTTTTGACATCAATCATTTTTCTGATTTTGGGGCTGGTTTTGTTTTCCTTTCTCTCATGAGGTCTAAGCTCCAAATGTCCAATCTTAACCTCTGAACAACAGGATATATGAGTGATAAGAAGTGGCTGTCAGGTGTGTCTGCTGCAAGTAAAGGATGTGTGTAACATGTTGTGCTTTCCCAGAGAAAAGTCTTCAGGCCCCAGAGAAATCCCCCCACCAATAATTCTGATCTGTCCATGAGGAAAGGCTGTCAGCTGTCTGGTACCACATCCTGAGCTTGAGCTGTAATCTCAGCTCTACTGCTGAGGATATGAAGCCTGAGACAGGCAGGCAGAAAATGTTATGGTTTAATCCCCAATTCCTCACATTATTTAGGAGAATCCCTTAAGAAGTTCCTGATATCTGCATACACTGGCAGTGCAAGTTCAGTTGGAAATGATAACTAGGATTGCTTTGACTTCATTGTCAGGTCAACAGAGGAGGCTTATGAATCTGCCAGTGCTGTCATCAAAGGGAAGGAAGTATTTAGCTGGAACAGTTTAGCTGATTGCTTTTGATTCATGAAATCCAACTTCGCTGTTGGACAGAATGGCTTCAATGGCGATTGGGCCATTATAATATTTTAGCATATTTCCTGTGATTGCAACAGAGTTGTCAAAGCCAGCTCATGAATTGCAAAAGGGAGAACCATGCCATGACAGCTCCTTCTGCTGCTATCTCAAGGAAGAGAGGGACCATGCTGAGCAGGTCTGTGGTCTGGAGAAACAATGTGGAGGGAATACAGGAGACTGCAAGCACAGCACTGCTCCAGAGCCTTTCGTGCTGTGGAATAACACGACAGAAACAGATTAAATTTCACAGCTTGCAGCAATCAGGGGTGGCTCCTCCAGCCCTTGAAAAGTCCACCCTCTTGCAGGCTCAGCTGATGATGAATTAAGGGTGACTCGGGATGGCCAGATGTAGTAGACAGAAGGAAATCAGCTCCAAGAATAGTCCCCTCTGTGGGTGTTTGGTGAATCAGTGGAAGGGCTGCTCAAGCCTTGGAGGCAGGAGCGCTGGTGGTGACGCAGCTGCGTGGGTGAGCTGCCCGTGCTCGGCCCTCCCTGGCAGCGAGGAGCAATCTCTGCTTTGCCTGTGAGGGAAACTGAGGTGGAGAGGCAGGGAATCTGTCCTTTCTGATCTCCTGAGGCCACGTGGCTTGTCTGCTTGTGCGCTTGGGTAGTGAATGTGAAATGCTCTGAAATGGGCCTTTTTCCTGACCCCACTCGCATCTGAGTGTGCAGAGAGCCTTGGAGCCTTTACAAGTATAGGGAAAAAGGAAACAGCAAAATCTGGCAATCCCTAAAGGGCCAAGTTCCCTGGGAAATTCTGGAGTGAGCTGAGTTGCAGGAATAAAGAAGTCAGTATTTATGCTTAGGGCCTTTACAAAACCCAGTGAAGCGTGTGGAAATTTTGTGTGCCCCAGAAATGGCCCTTGATCCTGGGCAAAACGAGCAGCCTCTTTTTTCCCCCTACCTTGATTTCAGATACACTTTTTAATATGCTTTAGATACAGTGCAGCAGCAATACCATGCTTTTAATGGTGTGAGTAAAGAACAAGCTCCTCTGGAAGCAGAAGTGTTGTGACTGTCACTCTCCCTTCCAGATTTCATCAATTCATATTTTCAAACTCATCTATGCAAAGCATTTCATCGTGGTAGTGTAAATCATACATGAGCCCTCTGTACCCACATTTGGCAGTGTGTATGTGAACCACAGGCCTCAGGAAAAGAGGGTTTTTTCTGCTTGCTTTAAAATACCAGCATGGAATTTGTCAGTGATATGAATGTGTTGAAGGCAGGATGCAGCCCACTACCTTTGAAGCCACCACAACATTCACATTTAGGTTCAGCAGAAAGATAATTCAGGCCTTATGTCAGTGCTTGTAAGCCAAGCCAACAACCTGCATCTCTCAAAAAAACCCTCCCAGGTTATTATCATTTTGTGTCTTGTTATCATCCTGTCTAATGTGGGTGAGCCTGCTTGGCATCCTGTGTTGTCTGCATGGTATTAAAAATAAAAATTAAAAAAAAAAACAAACCTGATTCTATTCAAAGTTGAAATTGTACTTAAGTGCTTTTAAAAATAAACTTAAGGGAAATCCAAATGTACAAGAAGCGTTAGGTTGAGGGAGCCTGGGTCCCAGGCTGTCAGCACCTCCAGTGCTCCCCACAGCTCTAAGCATCCAAGAAACATGAGAAATGAGGGGCTGGGCCACAGTGGGAAGCTTGAAGAAAGACAAATCTGCCTCAGCGCTTCAAGGATTGAAAGATGTAAATATGTTACCAATGTGTCTGACTTTCTATTTAGAAGCCATAGATGTTCTCAGTGTTTGATCTTCGGGTAAGTTGGTGTACATTTTTGACTGTACTAATCACTGTAAAATGTGTTAGCTTGTAAAACAGTGACAAAATAAGCCAGAAAAATCAGACACTGCATTGGCTGGTTCTCGAGATGTTTGTTGTACCTGAAACTGTCTGATGGACCAAGACACTGAAGTATCTCCAGTGCACCATACAGCTTGTGAAGACTCTGATTATTACCTTCCTATCAGTGTGTAACAGGCAGAATTAATCCCTATTTGTTGACATTGTGTTGGCCAAGTGATACACACTTATGTGTGCATTCAAGCCTGTTCCCTTAAAGATGAGGAAAGAGAGAAAAATCCCTTCTCTGTCTGGGGCAGGACAAAAATCTGGTGACTTTTGCTTCATTTCTGGGCTGTCAACCATGAGATTCCTGATCAATCCTCTGCATTGAGCCCATGTAAATTGAACTGAGCAACTGCTGCCTGTTGAGTATGTCCCTGATTTTCACCTGGTGGGAAACAAATACTTATTTTGGGAATACTGGAGCGAAACTTTGTGTCTTCATTGTAAGGAAGCTTTGGCTATGACAAAAATAATCTGTTTAATGTTTGTTGTTTCTGTAAGGCAGTGGCAGTGAGGGTGGAGAAATCCATGCAGAGTCATGTTGGTTTTATGATGATGTTAATCTCTTGTGTCATTTGGCTGACCTTTATTTTGTCAACCTTACACCTTGTAATTTTGGCTTATTATTGTTTCTGTAGCTGTACTATGGTTGTGATAGAAAGCCTATCAATTGCTGTAAGCCATAACTAGAACAGTAATCAGGGGTTTTTGGGTTTGGTTTTTTTGTTGGTTTTTTGGGGGTTTTTTTTTGGTTTTTTTTTTTGGTCTGTGTCACTGTGTTTGAAAGATGATTTAATTCTATTGAATAAACAAACCACTTTAACAGTTTTCTGGGAAAGGCAATTTTTGTGCCACTTATTGTGCCTTCAAACTGATTTTTTATTTTCTGCTGTTCTGTGTCCCTGAACAGGAGGAGTTGGAAGCTCGGCTGGTAGAAATTGGTTCACAAAACTAGAGAATGTCACTGTGGAATTATATGATGATATAGCATCATTTATAGACATATATAAGAGTATATTTAGAGTTATGCAACCATACAAACTGAGAATTTGATGTTTTGATCACTGAATATTCAGTATATGTTATGGACTGTTGTCTACAAAATATCTAGACACAGTAAGGTAATTTATTACTGGAAGTAGCAAACTGTGCACAGACAGCCTTTGAAAAGCCTCTGCAATCCCTGGGATTTGCCTACTTACACCTTCCTAACAGCTCTGTCCTTTCTGTCTTCATCCTTCATACAAAATCATCTTCTTTGGATCTGGTCTGTCTTATTCAGCCTCAGTCTTTCAACCTTACACATCCATCAGTATTCCCACAGAATTAGAATATAGATGTAAAAATATTTGTAGTAATGCATGATAGCAGATGAAACAACCATCTATTTTTTGAAACTGGGTGTTTTCCCAATTGCCATTCTATTGTTCCTAGATTATAAACTGAAATGGGAGTATGTAACAGAAATAATACAATCTGGGTATTAGTGCTGGTATAAGGAAAATGTAAATGACTTTGAAGATGCAGAGCTGTGGTGAATGCTGGAGGAATCAGCCCTCATTCTTGCTGACATTAAAACTGATGGATGTACTTCCTTCCCCCAGATGCTTGTGATTATTGTTAGTGATTATTCAATCAAGGAGAGGAAGCATGTGGAGAGGGAAAAATGAATAGACAAATTGACACTGGATGATATAATTTCTGTCTATCACACTGCAAATTGCTCGGCTAAGCAAGCAATCAAAGAATGGTTAATTTCCTAAAGCCTGCAGCATCCGTCATTTTCCTCAGTGGCATTTGCAGCCTTGGCTCTGAGAAAGTCTCCATAAAAAGCTGTAGTGAATTACAGAGATGTTTCACCACAGTCTGACGGTGCCCAGAAGTGGGCACTTAGGAAAAGAGCAGAAGAAACGGGAAATAATAAATGGCCCTTCTGCTGGTATTCCCTCAGACTGGTATTGACAGCTTGTGTTTTTGGCCTTGGCAGTGCTGTGTGGTACTGAGTGTCAGACTTCAGCTCTGTGCTCGTGATGTGAAGTGGTTCCTTCTGCTCTTATGAGCTCTCAAGGGTGCCCAGCAAGATGTTTTTGGGTTGTGGGCCCTGTCAGATGGAGCCAGGGCAGGTACTGACCTCCCTTCTCCTACCACAAGCATTGCAGGGAGCACCTCTTAGAATGAAAGCTTTATGCATTTCTAATTATCTTCTGCTTTTCTTTTTCTTTTTCTTTCTTTTTTTTCACCTAACACAGCTAACCCAAATCTACTCCTGGGTGGTGAAGTTCTAGCAGCCAGGTAATTTTATCACTTAGTTGTTTTCTCACTCTACATCTTTTAGTCATCTTTTCGTCATCCCTATGGATCTGGCTAGAAGAATAAACATTTTAACCCATAAAGAAACTACTGTCCATCACAGAGAGGTAAAGTACTACATTAAGTGTGTATAAGTGCTGCCACCAGCACCTTTTTAGGTGGTGAAGACGCTGGTTGCAAGGATTTCAGTGCTAAAGCTGCCTATGCAGAAGATTCCAGACCCCACTCACTTTTTTATAAACCTTTAAACTTGTGATTTAGCAAGTTCAGGTTTTATCCCTGAGCTGAGAGCATGAGCATTTGTTGAAGGTGAATATGGACTTCTGTAGACCTCAGAGACAATAACAGAACCTCTGGGCTGTGCACAGGTTCTTGCTGTTGGGGTAGCTGGGCCTGCAGGGGAAGGACAAGAGAGTCTTGGAATTCCTGGGATTCAGTTCTGCCTTTTGAGACCCCCAGAATTAAGGGCTAATGAATTGAGAGCCTTCCAGATCCAAGATCCAAGTTACAAGGTGTGATGCCAGGTCTCTGGGCTGTGCACAGGTTCTTGCTGTTGGGGTAGCTGGGCCTGCAGGGGAAGGACAAGAGAGTCTTGGAATTCCTGGGATTCAGTTCTGCCTTTTGAGACCCCCAGAATTAAGGGCTAGTGAATTGAGGGCCTTCCAGATCCAAGATACAGTTACAAGGTGTGATGCCAGGCCTGGTAGAATGTGACACAATTCATCCACAAAAACCAGGTTACTCTGAGTTTTATTGCATCTTTAGCAATAATAATAGGGACTAAAATCCACTGTTTTCCCTTCATGGGGCATCTTTTGTTTATTTTTGCAAGGAGCAGATTTTGTCAGCTGTACAAACATCCACACTGTCAGTCTTAGAAGTCTTTCTGCCTTGCTGGGCTGAGAGTCAGATTTTGGAGAGTGAAGTTCACCCTTCCCCCAGACTAGGTGAGGGAAATGCCATTGAGGTGTCTGAGCTGATGTCTGGAGCTTCACGTGAGCATTTTTTATTTTTTTGGCTGCGTGGCACTTGGCAAAGCCATGGTCTGCACTCAGGTCAGGCAGGCAAATGCCTTTCAGGCACTGGAAGTCAATCTTGGTGACATCTGTATTTCTAAGCACGTTATTTCCCTTGAGAAGTTCTGAGGCACTGAGGGAACCTGATAATTTTGCAAATAATTTGCCATCTTTACTGCTTAACGCAGACACCAGCAGGCGATAAAATGAAATACTGAGTCCCTAATGCTCTGCTCTTTGGAGGTTTCCATGAGCATGTGGTGCAGGATGATAAATATGGGATATGTGTCCCTTCCCTCTGAAAAGATTAATTAAATTTTTGACTTCCCGTCTAGGTGTTTCACGAAGTGCTGTGTATTCAGAATGGGTTTTGGGGATTTTTGTTTCAGATCTGTCTCCCCAATCACGTCTTTAATAAATCTCTCACAATTTTTCCTTCATGTAGCAACACTGGGGAAGGATTTGTAATAGTGATGAATTTAAATTTCTCCTTATCTCAAAACTGATTGAATAG